GCTCATGTTTCTTCATATATCATTCGGTCTGATTCATTTCTACCACATTGTTATACTGGTTCTCTTATCTTATATTTCTTTTTGAAATTAATTTTCAAAATATTCAGTGGCCAGGCTTGTTTTTTATCAAGACCTTTTCCAACGAGACTCATACTTTAGGTGTGCGGTGTTGCGTTCCTCATCAACTTCATAGCTATTTATTACCACGCTTCGCGAGCTATTCCATTCACCGTTATGGTAAGAATTTTATTTAATAAGTTGTGCATAGTAATTTTCAAAATTTATCGCCAGTTATTTGCATGTGATCTTCGTCTCGGTGGGTTGCTTTTAGAAGTGAAACACGCTCAAATCTAGCACTCACTTCCATATTGTGGTGATTCAATTGAATTCCAGTTAGCTGTCACTGCGATCTGCCTGTTCGTTATCCTTCCATTGACATTAGTTGGAACTGTACTTGGACGTAACATGTCTGGCCAAGGAGACTACCCGTGCAGGTAAAAAGAGTTCCTACCAATTCGGAATTCGATTTTGATTCATTCGTTGCAGAGTAAACGCTGTTCCTCGCCCAATTCCTGACAAGAAGTGGTTTGTGCAGCCATGGTTGATTGTGCTTATGGGAGGTGTTCTGCCATTTGGAAGTATCTTTATCGAGATGTGAGTAATATGCAGTTATCTTTACAATGTTATGATAATATGCTTTATTATTTTCATTTCCATCACGAGTTGTGTGATGCACTGTATATTTTATGTTGGATATTTCAGGTATTTTATTTTCACCTCATTTTGGGCGTACAAAATCTACTACGTTTACGGTTTCATGCTCCTTGTCACCATTATTTTGGCAATTGTCACTGTTTGTGTCACAATTGTTTGCTCGTACTTCCTGCTGAATGCTGAGGATTACAGATGGTGGGTGGTTGTTTTGTTTCTCCGCTCTCACCAATGAAAATGGCGAGTAGTTAGCTCCATAGTTCGGATGGAATAGAAAAAAACTGTAATTATTCGCATGAAGCATAGAATCGAATGGAGATATTGAAATTTTGTAAGTAAGGGGGGGGTTGACATTTGTACGAGGTACGAGTCCCAAAGATTTCACAGACGAGTCGAAAATGTTTATCGTCTTGAATTTCCCGAAATATCCCACCGTTCGTTTTGCCAACAACGGCTTTTTAAGCGCTGTATTATCTCCTGTTGCACAAGAAGTTTGGTATGATTTTGGCGTACTGTTATGATGCGCAGTGTTCGTTTGACTCAAGGCCAATGACAACACGACCTTGTCTGACTGACTTCTTATGGGGTGCAAGTTAATCGTGCTTCGACGAAGTCGAGATGACAAAACAAGGCTGAGGACGTGCAAAAAAGCGCATGAGAGAAAAGGTGTTCTTGAGATAGCTACGTCAAATCATGTCTGACCGCTGGAAGCCTCACTTTTAAGTCTGAAAAATTGAACTGGGGGATTGTGCCATATGCAAATGTTCTCACCAATTCTTTTTGCCACCAGCACTTAATAATAAATTTATTCTAAATGTGTATAAACAATGTGAGACTTCAAAATTTATTGCAAAAGACTCAAAACTTTTTACAAAAGAAATTGCAAAAGTGTGTTTGCAAAAGTTTTGCAAAAGTTTAGGTCTTTTTGGCGAGCTTTCGGCGCTTAGCGCCTTTGTCGAGCCTGAAATGAATAGCTTTTGAAGTCTTTAATATATTAAAGTATTCTAACC